TACTAAACTTATTATTTTAGTGTTTGTACAATATTAAATTTACCTTGCTGCTATTTTAACTTCAAATTTTTATGAATTATTTTTAATTTGATGTCTTTTTTTTTTCTTTCTAGTCTTCTAAATATATTATATTTCACATAATTTTTTATATTGTCCGGAAATTAAGTACAATAATGCAATTACGACGAGATAGACTAACCTATGTTTTCTTGATAATAATTTTTTGTATTACTATTTTATTTTATCAATATCATTATGCATCAAATCAATCATCACAAACAGTACAATCTATATCAAAAATAATTAAAAATGAAAAATTTAGAATTTTATCAAATGAATATTCAACAGTAATAATTTTTTGTTTTAAAAAGAAATAAAAAATTTTTAAAAATAAATTTACTTATTTAGATATGGTTTCAAGAACATTGTTTTCAAATAAAAGATTCACATAAATTGGTAGTAGATAATATTCCAAAATATTTAAATAAAGCTCGCTTATCAACAAATCAAATTTGCCAGTAAATCTATTGAAAATAATTTTTATTTATTTGAAAGATTGGTATTTTTTTTGTTTAATAGAGATTTTGTTAAAAAATTTGATGCATTATTTCGTCTTGAAGAAATTCATAGTTCATTAAAATTATCATCAATTTATTTAAAGAAAATTAATCAATATTTTAATAATGATGCAACACTTGTTGAACAAATAAAAAATCAAGTAAATAAAATAAATTATTTTCAATATTATTCTATGTGTTAAATAAGAAAATATTCATATAAATATTTATTTTTTAAAGCGTATAATTAAAATTTACAATCGACATACACATGAAGAGATGCTATATAATTATATGCGAAGTCAACGTCCACAAACTAAAAGTGAACAATCCGCCGAAAGCTAGTACGATTATAGTAAATGTATTAAATGGAATAATGTATATATGTCAGTGATCAAACTTGTATCAAGAGAAACATTGAAGTCAAGTTCAATATTGGCTTAAAGATTTTTTTAATTGGTGATCTGTCTATGAGTCAGAAATTGTTTAAGTTAGTTTTAACGAAAACAAAAAAAGAAATGACGACTTTTGAAGTTTGATAGTTCCACTTGATTCAAGAAATTCTTTTCTCTTCAGAAATTCTTAATTTTAGATGTCTTGTATAAGTGAAGGAAGGGACGTGTGTAGGTGTCATTAATCGCTTATTATTGTCGAGATACTATATTTTTTAGCACAATGTCGTGATTCCTCTCAGGAAAATTGAGTTTTGAATTTCGACTTAAAACTTTCCATAGAGACAGGTCTTAACGAGAATAGCTTATTGTGAAAGTTTCAGATTTTTCGATTGCTTCTATCCTAAGATACGACTATGGTAAAAGCATGTTTTTCACAC